TTTATAAAAAAAAATATATCCAAATAGCTTACGCAACACGCTACGCCGTATAAAGACCAAAACGCGACGCTTTACGCTATACGCGTTTTAAAACACTGATTGATACCCAATTTGGCTCCGATGAATTAAATAATAAATAAAATAATAAAGAGCGGTCCAATAACTGATAAGACGAAAATACATGATAAATAAATAAACAAGCAGGTTCTCGAGACTGATCAACCAGAAGCTACCTCAAATAGACGTCAATCGAATTAGTTAGAAGTTGTAGGCAAGTCCCACAATGATTAACTTATATTAAGTAAATATGTATTATCTTTCACAAATATTAATCATTGCACTACACACAATTAAAAATAGCGTTCTCACGCTAAGATTTGATTCTCATTTGAACTACATCATATATATATATATATACATATATATATAAATATATGTGTATATATATATATGTGTGTGTGTGTGTGTGTGTGTGTGTGTGTGTGAAAAGGAGAGAGGGAGGGGACTCTACTCATTCCTCATTTTCCTCAAAAAAGAAAGAGAGTAAAAACTCTCTCAAAATAATAATAAAAACACCCACTTTAATTTTGTTCTTCAATTTCCTTCAAAGAATTAAACTCTCATATCACCGTTGATCGTCCGATTTTTGACATCAACAAAAGTGTTGGTGTTAGCTTATAATTTTGCCAATTTAGTGGTTGTGTTTTTTAAGTTGCGCATGGTTTAATGTGCAATCAGTGAAGATGGTGGGTGCAATGGTCTGCAGATTTAAATTCTCATTAAAATTGCATATAGTTTTGGATTTTATTCTTGGCTATAATATAGCTCTTTCTTCAGCAATTTCTAACCCATATTTTAGTTTTGCCGCACTCATTGCAACATGCTCTAAAACAACGGATTTTATACAGTCTCAAAATATCTCGGGCAAAAGAGCTGTTAAATTAAACGAGTCGCTTGTGAGCTCACCTTGATAAGGCTCGTTAAAGCTTGAAAAGATTATTTTTTTGTATTTTTCTATAGTTCGATTCGACTTTGGCTCGTTAATGTGATAAACGAGACAAGCTCAAGTTTGATTATAAGCTCGTTAGCTCGCTCGGCTCGTTTACACCATCAAGTATTGAATTGTGACGTTCTATACATAGACTACTAGTATACTACCGTTCGAAACTCTGTATTAGTTGTGCTAATTGTTGTTTGCCAATATCCTACTCTATTCGGATATACTCTCGTAATGCTAGCTTACAAATGGGTAACTACTAATTGGGAGTTTAGTCTTATCTTGTTGTTGCAAATGTGAGATGAAAGTTGTCAAGTCGTACTGCAATTTAAACTTTTATTATTTATTCAATAATTATGTGTACTGATGCAGTTTTTATTGCGACATATTTTCTTTCAAACAGATCATTGCTCATAGTCTGATTCAACTATTTTTTATTTTTTATTTTTTTGCAATCCTCTTGGCAGATAGCTATAGTTGGATACTTAGATACGATAATAATATAAATTATAAAATAAAAAACAAAAATACATAATTATAATTTAATTTATGAAAAAGTATGAATTATGAAAATGATTCTAAATATTATTAAACACTTTTTGTATACAACATTAATAGTTTTCCTATCGTCGGATCACCGTCACCACATTTCATTATCTTCAAAGTCTTTTGATTTCTCTAGAAAGAGCCACATACATCAGTCCATGACTGAAAACAGGGTTCTTCAGGAGCCGGTATGTGAGAGAGACTGGCAGAGACCATGATAGGAAATTGTCGGCAATGAAACTTAAAAGGTACCATCAAATCCAAATTAATGATTGTAAGCCTTAAAATAAAAACCTTATCACCAGCTCTCTGGCACATGTTAAAATTTTGCACTCGAGGATATGGATGCTAAGCTTTGTAATAACCAAACGCGCATCGTTGTACAATCCCATTGAATGATCAATGTTTCTCTAAAGCATCACTGGATTGCCAACCTTCAAGTGCAATTTATGATTTGAAAGTTCGAGCATTTACATTGCAACAGCTTCAAGTGTGTGTCCATTTTCGAACAAATTTCTTAACAAAATTTAGTAAGTATCAAAATCATTAAATTGAGCATTTACATTTAGTATGTTCAGTACAACAAAGCTCAATTCGCTATCCCCACTTTTCTTTATATACATTGCAAAAGCTATCAGAAAACATCTCTTTAATGGTTTTGCTATCATGCAATCAGTATTACTATGCTCTATTGATAGACTTTGTTTCTTCATTTCTTCTTATAAACCAAGTATTTCATTTTATGTTTTTTCACACCATTTGAATACTTGTTGTTCCTTGTAACATTACTGCTACATATGTACGATTTCTTAGCAGATGGACCAGATTTCAAAGTTTTTCAAGTCCTAGGATAAATCTTTATAGTTATAAGCTCAAACCATACAAAAATTCAATTTTCATATTGGAAGTCACAATGATGGAATTTGTTCCACTTTTTCATAATCTTTCTCCTTCTCCCATTATGAGTAAAAATTTTGATATGGGATACCACACCGTTACAAAAACCGACTGACCAGGCCTGCCGAATTGGTTGGTCGAACGGGAGCACAGGCAGGTCGAACATAGGTTGAACGTCATTACAAGAAGAAGGAGTCCTCAGGTCGAGGAGGACATTAGAGGTTTAAAGAGACACCGTCAGATTGAGTTAGGGCCCTCGAAAATCCTGATGGAAACTCGACCTGAATGCATGATTGTTTGTGTGATCGGTCATGAGGACATGGCACGTAAGCCCGATATTCGTAACATTATATCTCGACGTGATTCAGGGTAGTCGCACAATTAGACAGTCTAATAAGACAAACTAATGAATAAGAAGAAATATTTATCAGGACAATGATATGGACCACATGTGGATAGAGCCACGTCGCCTAACAGAATTGGGCAGTTCGAGCAGTACAAACTTACTTTTTCGGCAGCTTACTATGGCAGTCTTGGGCAATAACGTAGTATCGCCCTATAAAAGCCAATGAGATTACATTATATTTTAAGACACAATAAGTGTTTGGTTGATTACATTATCTATAGTATATCAAGTATTTATATTACAATATGACATGCATGTTACTATACAAATGAAAATAATTAATCATATCTATCAATATAAATAAAACTATTATCTATTAAAATTTGAAGTCTAGAGTGAATAACTCTTGAATTATTTTTTTTTTTTAAAAAAACTCTTGAATTCTCGAATAAAAATCGAAAAAGTTTGTTGGGGGAAAAAGTGAAATTAACAAAATTAGGGAAACGGAAAGCAGCTCTAAAGCCTCTCTAATGGCGGGTTCACGCATTCCATCCGCGCCTCTATTTGATTCGAATTTGAAGCCGCCAGTTAAAACTTAAAAGAACACCAGTTAGCTTCTCTTCTCCATCTGGTTTCAGGTTTCAAATACATTTTAGTTGATTGTGCCCAAATTTTTCTTTCTGATTGTTTGAATTACCACATGCCTCAGGTTTTGTCGATGGATGCATGATCTCAAAGACCTTATCAACTGGAAGAGTTACATGTGATGAGTCCGATGACTCCTGTTCTGATGTTAGTTCACTTCCCTCATTATTCACTTTTTTTTATGCTTTTCACCGTACATATCGTGAAGCTTTTCGTTATATGTTTGTTGATCTGAATTCTCTCTAGAGTTTGGAAGATGTCATACATTTATATGAGGAAAATGGGAGTACTGCATATGAACCTCTAAGACACAGGAGAAATCGATGAGAAAAGGTATTAAAATTTTAGAATATCTGTATTCAGGAACTATTAAGGGATAAATTGCATATAAATTCACATTTTCCAGAGACTGGAAGGCCCGTGTAGATGTTGTTAAGTTTCTGGAAGACTCGAAGAAAGAGCTTATGGTGCTTGTTGTTAACCATGACCTCAAGGAAGTTTAGAGCTGCTCTTTTATTTATTTATTTATCCCTTTACTTATTGCAACAAACTGATCTACATGAATGACTTTGGGCGATGAACTGCAACTTGGGTAGTGTTTGATGTTGTGCTATGTCAGAAAAAGATAAGCACGCATATTATGTGGGATTACCAAGATAGCATAGTTATCATCCCCGGGTTGTAAACTGGCAATTGAACTGCATTTCGGTTAATAATTGAGTGTTTCAATTTATCTTGTGGTATCCAGTAGGCAAATAAATTGGCACTGAAATCAATATGTGTTTATATATGATTTTGTTTATGCACAGCTTTTTAGATCCATCGGTGAAGCAGTATCTATTTATGCATCTTCAGGAAGCTGTCTATCATCCCTCGTGGACCAGTCTTGGAGGATGGAAACGGGTGGAGTATTGAAAAGGGAATGCATTCCTTTTTGATTATACAGTTCTGCTACCTGGTCAACTGATGAATGCTGCAACTGAGGTTCGGTTGTTTAGATTCTAATTCAGTACGTGATTCATTTAATGCATATTTCATATACTGGAAGAATTTAAATGTGGGTAAGAGACTGTGGTTTCTTAAAGATATGCTATATTTGAAGGATATTACTGCTAAGTTACATGCAATGTACTAATCCAAACAGCACTTGATACATTCAACAGAAATAGCTTTAGTACTTGACAGTTAACATTGCATTCAACTTCTCCAGCAACTGAAGTTCACTAATAAAACAGAACCATATAAAAATCTAATATGAATATAAGTTCACGTACAGTAATTAAGAAAGCACATAGAGTAGGAGAGTCTCCTTATCACCTGACCTTATCCAAGTCTCACTTCATTTCACCAATTAAACATGAACACACACGCTTAGGCAAACTTCATCTTGAAAGGCTAGCAGGGATAAACTCCTTGCCAATGCTGCTAGGGCCTCCTCTAGAGACTAGAGCTCCAGGACCAAGTCTTGCGTGAAGATGACCAACAAAAAATTATGGAAAAGGAAAAGTTAGAGAACCATGCTTAATTTGTTACTCTTCAACTGATAGTGATGCATTTGTCACACATTTTTCACTTACAATCAGAGTCTGTCTTGATCCAGTGCTCTCCATTGGTAGTTGAAGCACCCATGTAGGTCCCATTTGAAGATGGTTCCCTGGTCTCTCTTCCACTCCATTTGCTCCTGTCCTGACCAATCATCTTATTTTCATGCTCACCAGAAATGCGTTTCTTCGTATTTTTTTCGACCTTTGTGAACTGTTTGTCAGTCATCTCTTCAGGCCGAACCTTTCTGTCAAACATCTTTGTAGCCTGCAACCCCACCACATCAGATCGTGGAAAGTTGAAATACTAGAATATTTTCCAATTTGCTTTATATTTATATTTTTTGAAGTTCCATTCATTTTTATTTTACGGCTGGTTCACTTTGCTCTAACCTTGAGCATGTATGCAAAACAATATTCGGTTTATATTTACGAGTGAGTGATTGATTCTTTATTGTATTCTATTTTATTTATTTAACATTGGTATATTTGTCTCAGGTAAACAAGTTAGTGGAGACAAAATGCAAATAAAAATAGCAATACAAACAGTTATCATCAAACACGTTAAAAAAGAAACCATTGGGTCATTAATTTGTTGGACCATTAAATATAAAAAAATAGATGGATATTTGCCATCTTAAAAGGTAAAAGAAAAAAATATGACCTTTCATAAACATAGAAATAGCATAATTGAAATATCATTTTGGTGTTTTTGTCCCACATTGGAAAAATAAAATTAAGTGGAGATGAATTCTGATTCCAATTATAAAAAGCAGCATGGCTAAAAAAAGGATGTCAGTTGCAAATAAGTGAAGAACATTCTTTTATTAGCTTGAAAATAATACATCAAAATGTATTATTAGATTATCAGGGTTCATAAAACAATTAAAAAAACAAACAAAGTTACAAACGAAGTCAATGACATAGGTCAAAAAAGTTAATTGGACAAAGTGTAAATAACTAAATTTAAAAAAGGGACGTTTACAATTATTTGAGACACGTTCAAACAAAGAAAGCATGACATTTGAAATGCATGAATCCTGTTCATCCTATAGAAAAGATTACTTGTAACATGTTTCTTATGATATTTATGGGCCAAAGAACTAATCAAGTAAATAAGTAGACCATGGTACCAACAGTAATATTAAGTCAATGTTTAGTAAGTAAATATTAACCAGTGGTATGATTATAATGACCTTGGAGAGTCTTTTCTTGATCGAGATGGATACAGCCGCATCTTTTTTAGATGAATCCTTTGAGCATCTTGATGATGAATTGAACTTCTTCACCATCTTTTTCATGAAATGAGATACTTTCCTTGATCTTTGTTCTGATCCTTCACGTATCTTTGTGTGTTTATCATGGGTCATGTTGTTTTCCTTAAAATGCCCTCTAGGTGCTGTCTTTTCTTTTGTTACTCCTTCGTCCGTCTCAGTCCGATCAATCAACGTGGCAAAGAGATAATTTTGAAGAGGATGAGCCATGGTATGCACTTGGCTATCAGAATCTGCTCCCTCAGGTATTGCATGGCTGAGTGTTATTATACTTGCTTGACTACTCCTACCGGATGTGTCATAGGCTATTTCTTTCTCCCCAGCTTCTAGAAATTTCTCGAGCTCATAGTTAACGAGTTCGAGATCATTTTCTGTTATCTCTGTCTGTGGATAAGTCCAATTTTCGTGGGGTGTTGTAAGCGTTGGCGTTGGGGGATCTGTGTGGCGTAGTTCCATACCAAAGGTACCAATCGCGAGAAAGTCAAAAGGCTCGAGTGATTCTTCTTGGAAGATCATTTCCCCCTCGTTGGCTTCAAGTATGTCTGAAGATTTTTGACACCTGATGTTCGGGCATGCCATAGTCTTGGTGGGCACTTTGTAGCAATTTTGTTCATTAAACAATGTATGCACTGAAAAACATGCGGAAATATTTCCTGAAAATTGTATAATAATCAAGACAAGTTCCGTAATTTATAATTACATTACTATGTGCACATTCTCTTGCATGAGCTTCATATTCTTTTGCATGGAAGTTTGTTGCACTTTATAAATTCTGAGGCAAGTTAGCTGCCTCAAATATAGTGCTGGCCGATGTATTTCATGCTTGCAATATTTGGTATAGGCTTCTATTCAAGTTATTTCTAGGTAGGAAAAATTGGTTGTAGATGTATTTTGTATGTATATTTGATGAAAGATAGATACATTGCATTCTTTAGTAAAAGGTTAGATGTATCCTGTATATATTTGATGAAGATAGATAGATAAATAGTATTCATTGAAGAAGTTACCTATTGTGGAATTCTTGTTTGGTTCTTTTCCATTTGGCATCAGCTTACGGTGCATCCAACCTAGGAACTGCAACATAAGCCATAAATTAGAAATGTTGCTATGCAGAGGTTCATTCTCCTAGTTATTCTCACAGGAATTTAGCTGACCTTCATTTTGAGTTTTCTCCAAAAAGTGGATAAGAGGTGGTTGTCTCAAGAACAGGAACTCTATGAGAGGATCAGTGAATCAGCATTTGTAAGGGAAACTAAATATATGGATATACGGGTTTAATCACAATTTCATCATGTTGTTCACAAATGGAAAGCCTAGGGTTCCTAAAAGTGTCCACAGATAGGCTTGAGCAGATTAGAACTTTAAGAAAGTTACAAGACTATAGTCGGACAAATTCCTGTCAACATTGTACTGGTTTAGGAGTGGACTTTGAGACCCACATGTTTGTGATATTATACTTGCTATGAACCTATGTGATTTTTTAGAGTCGGTTGAACTATGGATTTTTTTTTTTTTT